TTTATTATTCCAGGTTGTAGAACTCCATCCCTGTTTCCAGGATTTACCAGGCAGACGGAGCAGTTATAACTGTTTAAAAAAATCAAGTCACTCAAAATATAAACATCCAAAGTGAAAGAACAATAAGAGTTCAAATGCATGAGGATCTAAGTGAAAAAAAAAAAAAAAATCAGGAGATCTTTCTTGCCAAAAACAAAACAAAACTTTTCAAAGGTGGACCGAATCTGCTGCATTCTTTTATTTACTTAACCCACTTCACACACACACATACACAACATCATCATCATCAATTTAGGAAACTTTTCAGCTGCAGAACTTTCTTTTTGATCAAGTCACTACAAAGTGGATTGTCCTTTATAATCAAGTTGTTGTTCAGTTGTTAAGTTGTGTTTGACTCTGCAACCCCATGGACCTCAGCATACCAGGCTTCCCTGTCCATCACTATCTCCCAGAGTTTGTTTAAACTTATGTCCATTAAGTCAGTGATGCAATCCAACCATCCCATTCTCTGTCTCCCCATTCTTTTGCCCTCAATTTTTCCCAGAATCAGAGTCTTTTCCAATGAGTCCACTCTTCACATCAGGTGGCCAAAGTATTGGAGTTTTGGCTTCAACATCACTCCTTCCAATGAATATTCAAGGTTGATTTCCTTTAGGCTTGACTGACTTGATCTCCTTGCAGTCTAAGGGACTCTCAAAAGTCTTCTCCAACACAATTTGAAAGCATAAAGCTGGATCATTCAACACTGCTAAAAAGGCATTTTCTCACTTCTGATTATAGTATTTCTAAGGTTACAGTAGACAGCAATCTAGAAAATGATTCTGAATTCACCACTGGAAATGATTTCAACCTCCTACAAATGCTATTAGATGCCTCCATTGGGGGCAACCTGTGATCCACATTCAGCTTAATCACTAGCAATGTTCCTCCATGTTCTCTGGGGCAGGTAAGCTCAGATACACTAGGTACACGCTAAAACAACGCAACATTTTGCATGAGTTAACACTCCCATTCCCCCATAGCCTTACACCCCCCTGCACTGACCGCTCAATTCATCACCCTTCCCAAATGTGAGCTAATCACATCATACAAGTCCTGCCAAAGCAATAGTCTTTCCAGAGTGTACATGCTAAGTCATTTCAGTCTTTCCAGTGCACACATTCAACTAGAATCTGAATGACCAGACCACGGTTTAATGGGCTGTAAAAATGCCTTAGGTAACTGCACAGTCTTCCCTAAAGCCAAAAAGAAAGTTTAGGGCCTTGGGGGCAGGGGGGCGGATCCTTGGGCATTTTATAGCTCTTCTAGGAACAGAGCTACAGCAGATGGACAGGGCTGGACTATACACTGGAAGAACCCAGAAAAGACCCTACACACTAGCTTGTGGCTCAGCTGGTAAAGAATCTGCCAGAAATGCGGGAGACCCTGGTTTGATTCCAGGATTGGGAAGATCCCCTGGAGAAGGGATAGACTACCCACTCCAGTATTCTTGGGCTTCTCTGGTGGCTCAGCTGGTAAAGAATCCGCCTGCAATGCAGGAGACCTGGGTTCGATCCCTGGGTTGGGAAGATCCCCTGGAGGAGGGCATGGCAACCCACTCCAGATTCTTGCCTGGAGAATCCCCATGGACAGAGGAGCCTGGCGGGCTACGTCCATGGGGTCACAAAGTCAGAAACGACTGAACAACGAAGCATAGCACCAGCTTATCCTTATTTCTCTGAGAACCACACCCTCATCCCACCACAGCGGGATCTCTACTCCACTCAGACCCTTCCAGCCAAGAGACATGAACATCATCTGTTTCCATCTGGATGCCACATCACAGGCAGGAAGGAAAGAGGAAGTTCCAAATTTGGAGGGGGCAGAGTGATGGGCAGAACAGCAAAGTGCCAGGGAATATAAACACATCTGGATGAGAAAACTGCCAATGGGAAGATAAATACATCCATGAGCTCACACAAGCAAGAACGCCTTTTAATAAAACACTGTACAATTAACATGATAAGGTCAAATAAGATAGATAGATCATGACAGAAAAATAAAGCAAGTGTTAAAAGGCAACCTGAAGATAAGAACACTTGGAAAAGGCGGAGCCTAAGACAGAAGCAGGAAAAGGGGAGAGGCAGCCCAGTCCAGAGGAAAAGGAACCATAGTGCCAGAAAACTGTCAGAGTAATTTCTGCTTCTCTTCCACCACTTCTGATGGTGACAATACTCAGTACTCACTGCATGCCCAGCTGTCCTAAGAAGGTTATACACATCTCTTCTCATTTAACCCTGACACCAAACAAGCCTCCAGGGTAGACAGGAAAATGAGCCACTGAGCAGAGCTGGGTGGGATTCTGGCTCACCAGCCGGCAGCAAGGCAACACTCCCATCTCTCAATTTCCTTGCATATGAAATGCGGTCATCATTTCTGCCCTGGATGATTGTTAAAATTAGAGATAATGAACTTAAGTGCCTACTAGCAGCTGTTATTAGTGTGAGTGATCAGAAGAAGATAATCAAGAGTGAGGAACAGGAGAAAGAGCCACAATTGAATAGAAATGGCAACAGAGAAGCAGTCTTAGAAACAGGGGAAGGAAGCACTATGCCAGGGACAAAGATTCAGAGCAAGAAAAAGAGAACACAGAACACTTGGCTCTCCCCTTTGTGTGTCTGTGCAAACTGTCTGAGTTTTATTTTCCACCTCTACCAAGCGGGTATATACTATCTGCCCTTCCTACCTGGCAGGGTTGCCCTGAGGACCATATAAGGAGACAAGCACCCACATTTACAAGGACAGGCAACACGTTTATGCAAACATGCAATCTGCCAAATAGAGGGAGAAATCCTTTCCCCCTTATTCATTACCCAAGGGAAATTAAAACAGTCAACCACTTTTAATGTCAAAACCGGGCAATTACAGGCTGCAAAGCCACTAAACAGCACATGTCTTCTTTGGTCACCATTAACAGAATCTGGTTAATGTAATCTAACATTGAAGATTCGGCTTCTTTCCTGCAACATGCACCTTTTACAAACTTGTTTTGCGCTTCCGTCTCAATTTATGTCTTTTTTTATTCCTCTCTGGAATGTTGTTCCCTTTCATCTGCGATGGACCGTCTTCTGGTTATCCCTGAAAACCTAGTTGAAATGTTTCTCTGGCATGAGGAAGTGATTCCCTTCTCCCTACACTGCATATTATCTTTCCTGAATGTCTTACTCTACCTAGCACCTTTCTGGATTATGATCACTGGGCTGTATGCCATCCCCTCCCCCCAGTCTCCAGGTGTGAGGATGCCAGCAATGTGTCTTTTTATCCCTTACGGTGACCTTAGAGCATGGGTCTTTTCAAGGGGCAAATCTATAAAACATATGCAATAATGCATAAATTCTGTCCACCTAACAACTTTTTGTAATCATTACAACAGTAACTGCCATATTCTAAGATTTAAAAGTATATAAATATAAGGTAAAAATAATATAAAGTACCACAATCATAATAAAATTTATGTGGGGTGAAAGTAAATGAAGATGAATGAATAAACCAACAAGGCCTACTGTATAGCATAGGGAACTCTTCAATGTTATGTGGCAGCTTGGATGGGAGAGAAATTTGGAGGAGAATGGATACAAGCTTATGTATGGCTGAGTCCCTCTGCTGTCCACCTGAAACTATCACATTGTTAATCAGCTATACTCCAATACCCCAATACAATAAAATTTAATTTTTTTAATTAAAAAAAAGGTAAGAAAATAGATTTGGAGATGTAATTTCCAAATGAAAGTTTAAGGTAGTTTTTAAAACTTGGGTAAATTATTTTTAAACACGCAACTGGCTTCACTGGCCTTAGTCACCAAGAAAATGCTTCCTGGAGAGCTGTCACTCTCCAGCCTTGGCCCAGAGGAGGGAGGGCACAGGGCCCCTTTTCCAGACACCCTGTCGCGCTGCAGGCACTCCGGTCTCCCTGGTCCCCTTCTCCAGACACCACAGCAGTTAGGTGCGGGGCAGGGTCTGCGTCGCTGCCAAGGCGCATCCATCTCCAAGCACCAAGAGCCTCGACCGTTCTAGCAGCACTGGCGCCCTGCTCCCAGTAAGTGAGACCCTAAATTTCAGCCCACTTTCCTCCTCCCGCAGTCAACACATCTCCACTTGGCCAGAGGGCTGTCACTCGGCATGCCAGGCAGAGGAAGCAGCGAATCGCTAAGTTGGTTACAGGTTGCAACTCCCGGGCTATTTCAAGGCCAAGTTCCACAAGAAAGAAAGCATAAAGCTGCTCTCCCCCTACCCCCGCCGGCCCCGGAGAGGGGAGGTCCCTTTCGGCCAGATGAAGCTGCTCTGTCGCCCCTGCCCGGGTCCCCGGGGAGGCGGCCACGACCCAGAGGTCAATTCGCCGCGGCCCCGATCGCTCTCCGGAGCCGGGCCCTGCCCCACCCCCGCGGGTCCGGCGCGCTCACCGATCTTGGCCAGGGAGGCCAGCAGGATCCACAGGGTGATCTCGAAGGGGATCTGCACGTGGGGGTAGTCCAGGGTGAACACCGGCAGTCGGCTCTCCTCGAACGGCGTCGTGCCCGGAGCCACCACGCTGGCGGGGCTGGGCGGACTGGAGCTCGTGCCCCGGGCCCGCGGCGCGTCCAGCAGGGTCTCGGCCCGGGCGCCCGCCGGCCCCGCCGCCTGCAGAAGCAGCAGCAGCAGCAGCATCAGCAATGGGGCCTGCCCGCTCAGCCCAGGGCCCGCCGGCTCCATGGGCTCGACTCCCCGCGCCGCTGTAGCCGGAGCGGTCGGCCCTCCGTGCGCTCAGCGCATCGCCCCTGAGCCGGCAGCGCTGCCCGCCGCCGCCAAGGGGCCGGGAGTCTGCGGCGCAGCGGCCGGNTCTCTCTCAGGGCGCTGTGTTCCCGCGCTCCCATCGGAGCCCCGGCTTTTCTTTTCCCCCCGAGTACGGCTGTCAATCGCCGGACCCCTGTCGGTTCCACTATTCTTCCCGCCCCCGTCACGAAAAAGAAAAACATCTTCTCTGATTTCAGGTTTCGAGGTGCTCATGTCCCAGAGCAGCAGAACCATCATTATTTCGTGGAAAGCCCATGATTTGCAGAGCTCAGATGAACCCGCTCCGCTAATTACAGGACAGGCTGTGGTCTGGAGAGCGGAGGCTAGGAAGCGCGGTTCCCCTTCTGGATCGGAAGGAGCCGCGTCTGCTCGCGCAGCGGGTCCTCCTGGTTCTGAGATTCCGAGTGAGCGCAGCGGCCTCGCGGGAGTCGTCCATGACCTTGCTGCCTGCCATCCGCTGTCGCAGCATCTTTGTCACCAGGAACTGAAGGCTCCCTGAAAGCAGACCAGTGGTCATTTCAGTACCCGAAACTGTTTTGCCTTTGTTAGGAAACCAAAATCCTTCTCTTTTCTCATTTTGTTAATGCATCCAGACATGGCTCCTCTGTTAAACACCCTGAAGTTCAACATTCGAAGTAGATTTTACTTTCAAAGTTCTAAAATAGGGAATCTGAAATGTCAGCAAAAGGGACAAGGAAAAAAATAAAATTCCTTGACCTGAACAGCCGTCTTCAGACCTTGGAAGAAATGCAGAGAGACAAGTCAGGAGAAAAATGGGAGGATTCTAGCAGAGGGCACAGAGCACTTCCCTTAATACTTTACAGAACATAGCTGTTTAAAAAGTGCGACAGAGTAGAATTTAAGGATGGTCTATCCTCTTAAAAAAATAAGTCATTGAGCCATCCAAAAATCTGCCTCCCCGTCTCTATTGGAAATTGTCTGGAAATCTGCTGGAAATTTGTGTTAAAGGGTGAGCTTAACATTTCCCTGTAAGGAAGGAGCAGCAAATGATAACTGCTTTTAAAAAAGAAGTGTATCTCCACATGGGAAGCTCAACGCAAGGTTCTTTTTGTGTGTTGTTGTTAATCATCCTGAAACCCAAAGACATGCTGTACCCATTGTACCCGTTTTATGAGTAAAGAATTATGATAAAGAAAGGTAAAAGCAAAGAAGCAAAAAGACTTACTCAAGCAGGCGAATCAATTAAGGGTCTGAAAGGAATTCCAGCCCAGGCCTGTCCAGGTAACAATGGTTCCATCCCACCTTCCACCCTGTGACTAGTTGCTCCCCAAAGAGGAGGTTACTTCCTTAGGAGCTGTCAAATAGAATAGTGGAGATTCATTTAGGAAATATCCCCAAAAGCTGTAGCAGAATAAAGTCTTATTTCCAGTAAGCAAATCAGGCCAGTTCTACACATTGAGTGAAATAATGGTAGGCCAAGGGCACATTCTGACAGTAATTTCTAGGAGTCCGACTCATGTAACCCTTTTGAGGATAATGGCACCCCAGAACCAGGCCGATGAAGGTCACATCTACGATTCTGGGACCTTCCTGCCCATGGGAGCTGTAGTGACTGCAAACTCCAGGTCTAATCCTTGAGTCAGGAAGATTCCCTGGAGGAGGAAATGGTAATCCATTACAGTATTCTTGCCTGGAGAATCCCATAGACAGAGGAGACTGGGGGATGGAGGAGGGGAAAGCTTCTGTCCACGGAAGCACAGAGTTGGACATGACTGAGGGACTAACACAACATTGTAGTTGAAGGTTATCAACTTTTTCTTACATTTGGAAAAATGCTTTTTTATTTATTCTTATCCATGGAAGATGAATGACTTGACTTTGTAAACACTCTCATCACCTCTCAAACAAGAAAGAGTTAAATTACACCCCCTTGCTGACAAGGGCTTGGCTGAGCCATTTCTCTCAAGGGCCCCCTGACTAGGAACTCAGCCCCTAAAAGTGATAAAACATCACCTGTTACTGTACCCATGGAATGGATGAAGTCTCTGCCAAGTTAGAAATCCCCGAGTGGGTCCTCAGCACCTTCAGAAGGACAGAAACTCCGCAGTGACCCACCTAATCTGACCTTTGCCTTTTCCTCTCACTACTTCACTTCCAGGCCCCACCCTCAACGCTCTATGAACTCAGATCAATGTTCTAGGATCCCTCTCACCTCAAGGCCTTTGCACACTGGTCCCTGTGTAGAGGAAACTTTCTGCCCTCTGCCCTACATTTTGTTCACTCCTCCTAGGGTCTCAGCTCAAAGATAACTGGCTCAAGGAACAGTTACCTGGCACCTGCATTTCTGGACTAATTAGGGCCCTTTTATGCCCACTGATCTCTCCCCCTACCTTTCTTTGTTAGCACTTCATCATTTTCCTTTTCTCCAACAAGACGGCAAGCTCCATGAAGGTAAGAATGACCTGTTTGGTTCGCTCTTTTATTCTTAGTTCCTGACACAATGCCTGGAGCACAGTTAGTACCCACTGAGTATGTGCTGGGTGAATAAAAGTGGTCTAACCTGGAATGACAGTCCTCCAGCCTTGGGAACATGGGCTGCAAAACTTTCTCGTGGTTGGATCAGTTTCAGGATGGATGTGAATAACTCCATGTGAAATGCTTCCTTCCAATGATTCTGGTTTATATTTTGGGAGCTCACATCTCCTTTTCTCTTTTCTACCCAAATGTGAACATCCAATCACATAATGTGATTTCTAAATAATTTCATACATGATAATTACCTGGAGAAGGAAATGGCAATCCACTCCAGTATTCTTGCGTGGAGAATTCCATGGACAGAGGAGCTTGGAGGGCTATAGTCCATGGGGTCACAAAGAGTTGAACCCAACTGAGCAACTGAGCACACATGCACACAGTCTCCAGATAATGTTACGTTGTTATGTGTTAGTCGCTCAGTCACCTCCGACTCTTTGTGACCCCATGGACTGCAGCCCTCCAGGCTCCTCTGTCCATGGAATTCTCCAGGCAAGAATACTGGAGTGGGCTGCCATTTCCTTTTCCAGGAGATCTTCCCAACCCAGGGATTGAACCCACTTCTCCTGCATGGGCAGGCAGATTCTTTACCAGCTGCACCACCAGACCTTACCTGGAGAGAGTAGCATTGAAACATGCCCTACTATGTGTGAAATAGATAGCTCGTGGGAAGTAGTTGTTTAACACCAGGAGCCCAGCCCGGCACTCTGCGATGACCTAGAGGGGTGGGATGGGGGGAGTGGAGGGAGGCTGAAAAGGGAGGGAATATACGCATACTTATGGCTGATTCATGTTGTTCTATGGCAGAAACCAATATAACATTGTAAAGCAATTATCCTCCAATTAAAAATAAAATTTAAAATATCAATATTTTAATATCAAAATTATCAAATATCAAACTATTTTAAAATTTTAATATTTTAATAAAATTTATAGATATATTTTAAATTATATTTTTATTTTAAAATTAATATTAAATTTAATATTGAATTTTTAAATATTTATAATAATTACCTGATTTGAGATGAACTATCATGTATTAGCATAAGAATGCTTCCTAGGAACATAGGAATCCTCTCAGAGAAAGTAGTAAATATCTTTTTTCTGCCTATCCATCTAAAGTGGTCTGTTAGAGGGACTTCCCTGATGGTACAATGGTTAAGACTCTGCCTTCCAATGCAGGAAGCATGGGTTTGAGCCATGGTCCAGTAATTAAGATCCCACATGCCATGCTGTGTGGCCAAAAAAAAACCCAAAACCAAACAAAAAAATAAAGATCTATTAGAATTTTAATGTAATCATATTTAATGGATCTTTTAACAAGTATAACTACTGAAGAAGGACAGTATCTCTGGCATCACTAAAACTCATAAAGGATTTGGAATTTAGCTTAGGAGGAAGTGTACCTTAAAGAATAAAAATACAAGCCCTGCAGAAGAGATTAGAATTATCACCAAGTCCAAAGCTGGTCTTAAATTCTCCCCACCCCATGCCCCTTGCCATAGAAGGTTCTAGAGGACCTGAGATTTAATTTTGTGTCTTCCCTGGGGGCTCAGAAGGTAAAGAATCTGCCTGCAATATGAGAGGCCTGGGTCAGGAAGATGCCCTGGAGAAGGGAATGACTACCCACTCCAGTGTTCTTGCCTGGATGGAGAATTCCATGCACAGAGGAGCTTGACAGGCTACAGTCCATGGACTCAAAGAGTCAGACAGGACTGAGCAACTAACACTTTCACTTTCTCTTGCTACACAGATCTCGGAGCGTAGAGATGCTGTTGTGTGTTGATCCCCCAGGAAGTACCGTGCAAAAAGAGCAAGCAGAGATCTTGGTCTCTGCACTGACAAACAGCTCCGGAAAGGTTGGCGGTCCCAGCTCCGCTTGTCAGATGCAGAGTGGAGGCTGGTGGAGGGGGACGCCATCTGGTCCTAAATGGCAGTGTCCCTCTTCTCCACTGAGGGGCGCCAGCACCCTCTCCACGGCTCAGTGACTCCCGGAGCGTCCAGCCCACTGTGTGAGCTTAATCAATAGCCAGGAGAGAGAACGCCTCCATCATTATACTATTACAGTATGTTGTCAGGAGAGTCCCTAGCAGTAGTTAGATAATAGTTAGAACTGATATTTCACACTGTGTATTTTTTACACATTTTTATAACATTCATCCCTTAAATCCCCCATCTTTGAAATCTGCATTGTACAACCATGAACACTTAGTTTCATAATAATATTGCAATTCAAAATATTTGCTTGTGAAAAGTCAACACTTGTGGTACTGTTGATTTTAGGGTTTTTTTTTAATTTTTAATTTTAAAATAGGTTAATACATTCATGTGTTCAGCACAATGAGAGGTTTGACTTTTAAAATGTTTATTTGGCTACACGGGGTATTAGTTACAGCATGGGGAAGCTTCGATCTTGTTGTGGTATGCAGTTGATGATTTTATTGTTATGTTTGAAGTCAAAGTCTTAACTAGCTTTTTTTAAAAAAACAAAAAAACTTAGTTCTCCGCAAAAATCTAGAGCCCACTTCTTAGAGTTCAGCCTTATGAAGGATCTTGCTGTGGTGTGAATTGTTTTATTGATATGCACGGAATTAAGTGCCTTCTCTGTTTCTTTGTAGCCAGAGGTATTTGTTTCATTTCAGCAAAGAAATGTCTCGCTATGTGAAAAGTTACTGTCTGCAAATTCCAGGTTATAAGAGTGGTGCTATTAATATGGAAATCTCCTAATATATTTAAAATGAGATTCTGCCTTGAGATATTCAACTGGGAAGTCTTTCAGAGCCTCAGTTTTCCTTCATAAAATGAGAGATTTGGAAGAAGAAAATTTGTTTCTTTATAAAAGGCTTTGCAGGTCTAGCATTTGAATCCAACAAGTCCAGTGGAAGGGGACACACACCTGCATTCCTTCTCACCTTCCTCAGGGACCTCAATGTCACCTGTGAGAGAAGGTCAGTGTCAGCCTGTCCTTCAAACTTTGCAACCTTGAGTCTCTACTCTGATGTGCAATGCAGTCAGAACGCAAAATGACAACTGATAGGACCTTCTGAGTAGCATTCCACTATTACATATAAGGCACACCCATTCATCAATTCAACTTACATTTATGGAACCTCTACCGTTGCTGGGCACCTGCAACTCAGAGTGTCCTGGCCCCTATGGAAACCAGTAAGTCAGAGTGCTTCAACGGATTGTGGGCAGGAAAAGTAGTATTTCCTCCACCCTCCACAGTGGAAGCAGAGGTATGACCAAACCCAAACCTGGAAATAAAGGAGCCGGGGTTTAAGACGCTGATCTTCTAAGCATGCTCCTTTCTGCATGTTCATCTAAGCATCTTCATTCACTTCCCACCCCCTTCAATCTTCAACAAATCCTTAAAGTTTTTTGAGTTTCCATTTATCTGTCCAAAGGTTGCTCTAAAAAGCATGCTCGTGCAGATTTTATTTAATAAGAGTTTACTCTCGGAAAATCTCGTCTGCTGCTTCCAGTGTGAGTTTTGGTCCAGGCTGTTCAAAGTGGACTGTTTCTGCGGTTTCCTAGTACTTCCTCAATGGGGAGGAGCAAAATCTAATCTGTATATTTTGGAATTTCTGCATTTCCTATAGTCCTTGAACTCCTACTATTTTATGATCAGTCTTAAAACTTGAAAACAGATAAATGAGACAATATTAGTACATCAATTCAACTTACATTTATGGAACCTCTACCGTTGCTGGGCACCTGCAACTCAAAGTGTCCTGGCCCCTATGGAAACCAGTAAGTCAGAGTGCTTCAACGGATTGTGGGCAGGAAAAGTAGTATTTCCTCCACCCTCCACAGTGGAAGCAGAGATATGACCAAACCCAAACCTGGAAATAAAGGAGCCAGGGTTTAAGACACTGATCTTCTAAGCATGCTCCTTTCTGCATGTTCATCTAAGCATCTTCATTCACTTCCCACCCCCTTCAATCTTGAATAAATCCTTAAAGTTTTTTGAGTTTCCATTTATCTGTCCAAAGGTTGCTCTAAAAAGCATGCTCATGCAGATTTTATTTAGTAAGAGTTTACTCTCGGAAAATCTCGTCCGCTGCTTCCAGTGTGAGTTTTGGTCCAGGCTGTTCAAAGTGGACTGTTTCTGGGGTTTCCTAGTACTTCCTCAATGGGGAGGAGCAAAATCTAATCTGTATATTTTGGAATTTCTGCATTTCCTATAGTCCTTGAACTCCTACTATTTTATGATCAGTCTTAAAACTTGAAAACAGATAAATGAGACAATATTAGTTTAAAACTTAGTGTGTGCTTCATTATGCTATGCCTATCTTTGACCTATGTTTTCATCCCCCCACCCGTTCACTTATCTTTTCAAACAACCAAAGATCAAGTAAACTTTTTGAGAACCTAGTATGTGCATGCATGTTTAGTCGCTTCAGTGGTGTCCACCTCTTTGCAACCCTATGACTGCAGCCCACCAGGCTGCCCTGCCATGGCATTCTCCAGGCAGGAATACTGGATGGCTGCCCTCCTCCAGGGGATCTTCCAGACGCAGGGATGAAACCCGCTTTTCTTACTTCCCCAGTATGGGCAGGCAGGTTCTTTACCACTAGCATCACCTGGGAAGCCCAA